ATTTGGAGACAGTTGTGTTCTGAAATCCTATCTTGAAAACTTTAAAATCCTCTCAAAATAAGGAAGTTTTTTATAATATCCCAGAGAATTTGGAAATCTATAAATAATAGTGTATCCCACATGTAGAATTAATTTCAGCAAAATACCCCAGACCTAAGTGCTTTAAACTGACAGATGTTATTAGGCTTCACAGTGTCGCACAATTCAACTGTTTCAAAGCTTTTCTGACAAATTTGTGCAGTGGAAAACCATATACAATGTTTCAAAATGTAAACTAAACTGAGTCTTAATGTCTATTCACACAACAGCAAGAAAACAAACAGGTTTTAGTTAATTCAAAAAAGGACAGTAGCTATGGAGTCAGAAAGGTAGATCTAGAGCTACTTCAGGATCAGGTATACTTAGCCAAGATCAGAGTAGGCTTTTCCGAACTGCACTTGCACCACTTGCAGAGAAAGAGCACACACACTTTATCTCTTAGGGAAATAACCTTATCTGATTTCTCTCTGGCGTGTTTATTAGTTGTTTCTTTCCTTAGAATCTGTATTTTAGATTAAATGACTTGTTCAAATCTTTCTGCCATAAGCTGCACAAAATACTTCATGTCAGCTCTCCCTCCGCTTAGTGATTAATAACATCCCCTGACCTGCGTGCCAAAATACGCATGCCAAGATCCAGGACTTTTTGAGGTTAACAGGATCTTGTTGTGCTGACAAATGGTATCGTAGCACTAGCAGTCAACACAGTCATACAATCTTTCTCCTGTTTTGGTGTACTTTATGGGAGCAGGAACATGCATGCTGGGGTGCACTTTCAAAGGCATGGAGCTCACCCAGAGTCTTCTGAGAATTTCACAAACTAAGGCTTTGCAGTCTGTGGCCATTGCTGGTTTTCAGCCATTTCTCAGAAAAAGCATGCTGATGACTGCATGGGAGGAGTCTTGCAAATCAAATGACAGTCTGAGCATGGAAACAGGCAATTAAGCAAAGATACACACGTTAGCGTCCTGCTGTAATAAATGGGAAAAAGAAAGAGGTTTCCAGAATTCAGGATGGAATACATCATGTGCTGGAAGTTCATTTTTCTCTTTAGTTACTATAGAAGGAATATAGAAGGTGTAGAGATGAGTAGATCAAATTGGAGGCTTCATTTTTGTGTGACTGACACTGGGTAATGTGAGTTCCATCCTGAATGACAATGTTGTAAACTTATTACTGATCTGCAGTGATATATCTGGAGAGTGATTTGGGTAGAATTAAATGTGGGAGATGTCAATGACATCTTGAAGTAGAATATGGATATCAAATAAATTGTTCCTTGTGATGAGGGCTGAGATGGCTGCCCTAAAATAAAAATAAAATGTAGAGAATCTCAATTTTCTTCAGTCTTTTTTGTATATCAGTTGAAAAGGTATCCTGCTTGCTGCTGAACTAGAAGTCATGGAGAGGAATAAGGAAGCCCAAATGATAAGTCTGAAGCATTACTTTGCCATATACTGTGGCCTTTTTCTTATTTTCCTACTGTACAACTTAGGGCAGAAAATGGATGAAAGAAAAGCCCTTTGAGAGATACCAGTAACTTCAAAGGTTTCCTTTAGAGTTATACTTGCAAGAATTTCATCTTAAGGCTGAATTTTGCTGTATTCCTTTAGAGTGAAGGCTTTTCAGCTTTCATAAAAGAAATATATAGTTTTGAGGTACTATGTAGTTCAGTCTTGGAGATGGAATGAAACATGGATAAACAGGATAATGAAAATTTTGTGAAGGCAGAGGTATTTACTGTAGTACCTCATACCTTCCAGTTCAAGGTCAATTCCCATCCTGAATCTTGGATTCGTGCTGGGATGAGACTTAAGAAACCATCTCCTTATATATTTAATACTCCCATGGAAATACAGCCTGGGTGTGCAGGAAGCTAAGATGTGCTCTGTTAAGTCTAGGCTGAGGAGTACATATAGAACTTACTCTGACTTTTTTTCTTTAAGAAACCATTTCCTTGGAGAACAAGGCATACCATATAGTTAAATCTTGGGTTACAGCAGAAACTGCCATAACTAGTGCATTATAATGGTCCATGTTTTATAGTATTGAATGTGGGTACTTGAAGAAGCACAAGAAGCCCTGTGAGCTATGAAATGTCAGGTACACACAGCAGTCTACTTTCTAGCATTTTTATTACGAGGCTTTACATGGTAAAACGCAAGGGTTATGTTCTTTATCACTGTGTTTGCTGAAGCCTCTATGAAAATCCTTACTGTCTGTAGATCTGTTCGATTGCTTTAAAAAACTTGTAAAATTCTTTTTTATCTGAGTAAGATCTTGTTGTCAGTAAGTTTCTCAGATTTCCCTCTTTCCTGATCCATAAGAATGGTGATGTCATTTTTTTCTCTTACTCTCTCACCCTTCACCACTGTGAAGAGCCCGCCTCAATCTCCTCCCGTGCCCTGAAACCATCTCTGCTCCAGGCTGGACAAGCTCAGCTCTCCCAAACTCTTCTCTCAGGTGCTCTAGCTGCCACTGTCTTGCTGGCCCCTTCTGAGCTGGACCCAGTTTATCAATCTCTGTCTTGTACTGAGGGGCCCGAAACTGTGTGTGGTATCTAAGTCTAATGAGTGCTGAGTAGGGGATGATAAGCACTTCCCCTGATGTCTTTTCCTACAGCCCAGGCTATCATTGGCTATCTTTGTTCCCAAGACTCATTGCTGACCCATGTGCCATTTGCTGCCCACCAGGACCCCCAGGGTCTTTCCCAAAGAGCTGCCCCTCAGGAAGTTGGCTGTATCAGTTCCCGAGAAATTCTTTCCCATGGACAGGACTTTGCACATGTCCTTATTCAATTTCATGAGCTTCCAATTCATCCCGCCTCTCCATGTCCCTCAGGATGGCAGCCCTGCCCTGGAGCAAATTGACTGTTCCCCCCATTTTAGTCAACTGTACGCTGATGAGGGTGCAAATAATGTTATTATCAGAGAAAGAAGCACAGATTTTGTTGTAAAGGGCAGATATATCTAAAAATTCTAGATAGGTTTTTTTACAAACTTGTATTTTGAAAAGTGTTAACTTAGTACACATTGCATGCACCTAGAACAATATGTCTGTATTTGGGTAGGAGAGCAGAAACATGCATAGGGAACAGGCAAAAGGAGAAGCAGGTTAAGATGGAAAATAACACTCTTCAGTGCAGCCAAAAAACCCCAAACTAACACACCCAAACCAGGAAAGTTATTTTTCTCAAAGAGAAAAGTTAAGTGAGGAAGGCAAAGACCAATAAACTACAATTACATGAACCGTTACCTGTTTTCCTGCTGCTTATTTCTGCCTTTTTTTTTCACTCTCAAGCTCTTAAGGAGGAAACTGATATAATTGCAACTGGTGTTCATTATTATTTCAATATTGTAAAATGAAGTTTTATACCCTCATAACAGTAGGATGGTTTCAGGCTCTGATCACTTACTCATAAGTGATCAGAAACAGTTTAGTAATGATCTTCTCTTCAGCTAAATATAGCGTATGCACTTTATACAGTACCTGTAAACTGGGTGTGGAATGTAGAGAAAATGTTTAATATTCCAAGTTTTCTTGCCAACCTAAAATTACAATGGTTACGACCACATACTTACTTAAGCAGAAATAAATCTTTTTGGTGATTAGTATAATAGAAATAGGTGAGACCACAAGCAGGATTTGATGCATAGGGAACCACAGCTGAATTGGAGGAAACATTTGTTGCTCTATGAAAAGGAGGGTAAGAAATCAAGACATGGCTGAAGAATATCTGATTACTCTGTCTAAAGTTTATGGATATGATACATTTATATACATAATCTATATTTGTCAGTGGAATAAACAAAAAAAAAATAAAATTGAGCAGCATAATATATTTTTCCTCAAACATGTATGACTGAAAGGCTTCCTTTTCTCAAGGAAGAGCATCCTTGAACAAAGGATAGTTATACAATTCATACATATTTACTTTCCAAAGTAATCTTGTATTCACTTGATCATCTTTGTATAACATGAAGGCACCCAGGAACGTATAGACCATAGTTCTTTATCCTCAATTGAAAGCCAGATTAGTTATGTAGCAAACCCAAACTAATTCTTGAGGTCTGGCTGGGCATGTGTTAATGGACTGTGAGAATGTTACAGATGTATGGGCAAGCAGACTGCACAACACAATGCTGTCAATAAAGCTTGAGGGCCTCAAGATTTCTCAGGCTGCCTTTATCCAGAGCCAGAGGCCTTCTGCAATTCATTCTGCTCCTGCTTCCTCCTGAGGGACAGCTTTCTTTAAAGAAAATCAGGGATAAGAGAGAGGTAAGGCCTGTCTGACGAGACCAGAGGGATCAGTCTGCTAACTTCATGCCTTTCATGTAGGGAATTCAGAGTCAGATAGCCTGTATGGTAAGAAGGACATCAATTCTTATTTGAAAATAACAGAGAAAGGTGTAGTCAAAAGTCTGTAACAATAGCATCTATTTGTAAATTATCCCTACAGCAGGAAGAGCTACCCACTAATGAGAAGTTATATACTCTTCAGTGTTTTTTATGGTGATGTTTTGCTTTTTCTAATTATCTTCCTGATATAATTTTCTAGCACAGCAAATACCAATTATGAATTATAATTATGTAGCACTCTTCTTACCCAACAGCAAGCTCAGCCAAGATAGTGTGAAACAAAGCTGCAAGCAATCTCTCATTTAAGAAAAGGCAGTTTTCTGTGTTACCGCTATGGAAAAATGTAGTAGTATCTCAGCTGATGATATACACAGGTCTAGATTATCTTCTTTGGTTATAATGGTGACAAACCACTATGCAATTGTAAGTCAAGTTTTGACTGCACCTGTTTGCAAACTCAGGTAATTATGCTCCGTTGTCTAATTGCTTATTTATGGATATTTTGCTCACATGTTTTAAGCAATGCTATTTGATTGCAACCCTAATGGTAGGGTTCCCTTCTCATTATCATACTTTAACATTTGATTTGTCTAATTGCTGCAGGTGGAAACAATAGGCGATGCATACTGTGTTGCAGCAGGGCTCCATAAGAAAAGCCTTAGTCATGCTAAAGCCATTGCCCTAATGGCATTGAAGATGATGGAGCTTTCAGAAGAGGTTCTCACTCCCGATGGAAGCCCTATTAAGGTAACCTCTTTGCTCTTTATTCTCAGCTAGTCAGTGATACGTGGACCTGATTCATTACATCGCGTTCTGTCAGTAGAAACCTGTTTATTGCTAGGAGAATCTACAATTGCATCAATATGTCACAGTCTTTTTTGGTGCACATGTATTTCACTGGTGCTCATCAACAGTCATGGAAGCTATGCCCTATTTTAGTAAGCACAATAGACCACATGGACAAGCTGTTGCCTTGTTGTATGCGTTGAATGCCTATTTGTGGCTGAAGGGCACTCCTGGAGCCTTTCTTGCCATTCAGTATCGTGTGAGAAGAAGACGATTCCCATGATTCAGGACTGTCCCATGCTACAAGCAAAGCACAGTATGCAATGGCAACAAAGAAATTCGCTTCAGGAGTAAGCACCTGATCTGAACTTCAGCAGTAGTGTGGTGGCTCTCAGAAAGTTCTGCAGCTTTGAGAGACCACATACCTCTTTTCTTTAGTTGTAGACCTGCATAAAAGACGAATGTGTAGACTATCTGTTCTTTCTCAGTGTTAATTTGCTTCCTTCCTGTGCTACTCCAGTTACTTTCCTTAAGTTTGGTATGAAGGTAGCAGGAGGAGGAAAAACAGATGTCCTTTTATACCATTTTAAAGTTCCACTGCTGTTCTGCCTATTTTGATCCTATACCAACTTTGTAGCTGCTGGCGTTTGGAATTGGTAATGTCTAGGTAGGAGAGATGGAGATGTAGCAAGGAAGAAAAACCATGGAGATAGACATGTGCCTTTCTTTTCCAAGTGTCAGATTATATGTTGGTTTTATTATGTGCATTCACTCCTATTTTTGGTTGAATTGTTCTTCCCATAATACAAACCTTCTGTTTTCCAAGAGAATGGGAGTATTATGGGAGTATTATGTACTATGTAGAACAGTATTCAACACTGTCTAAAGCCTTTAACAAAAGCTATATGTGGCTGGATTGAGAAGGCCAGACCGACTTCCCACAGGATGATTTATATCATGGTTGAAATTAACTTTGTAAACTGCAGTTCCTTTAGTCTGTTAAAAATGAAGGTTACATCAAAAATGTGTCCTTTTTTCCCCTCGTGAAATGGAAAGACAGTTTTGAAGGTTTAAAACTTGACAGAAAAGTGATAATGTATTCAGAAGTGTTGTTAAGCAAGAAAATTGTATACCTAGGAGTTCCAAATCTTCCTGATTTATTAGTTAGGTTATATCTTGAACTATGTTCCTTGAACTCTTTATGTATGGTGAATCAAGAGAGATTTAATCCAAATGATTTTTTCTGCCCAGAAAGGAAAGTATGGATGCAAGGCAACCAAACTAAGCAATTCCATGAAATATGGCAACACGATATTCAAATAAATAGATATAGAGTTCTGGATAAAATATTTTTAAGTATTAATGATGCTTATGAATTTTTTAAAATGTCACAATAAAATATTTGAGTGTTGAAAAATGTCCACATATTCAAAAGAATAGCTTTCTGAAAAAATATGTTGGACTATGGATCTTGAAGAAAAATGGTTTTAAAGCGTTGAACACAGAGCAAGCATTAAAAGACAAATTTTTTCTGAGGATACCAGAAGACGTAGCATTTTCAGTTTTGATAAAAGACTATTTCAAATAGGTATTAATTTAATCCTATTAAAATATATTTTCTTGATTGATTGATTTTAATTCTCTATTTTTCCAGTAACTATGGATGATTAACATGTGCTAGCTATATTGTCACATGCTGGGAGAGTGATCTTCCAGGTTTTCTTTATCTTTTCACTTTCTCTTGAGTAATTCCTGTAATTGTAAGGAAATTTTGAAGGTGTTTTATTCTGACAGTCACATTTTGTGACCATTTTCATTACTATTCTTTATTTTTCAGAAAATTCCTCATGTTTTCACTGGCTATGTAAGAGAATATGTAAAGACAATGCAGCGGAAAAATGCTTGCACAGAATAAAATGCTAGGAGTAACCAAACATTTTCAAAAAGTGCTAGTAAATCTCCTTTAGAATTCAGAAGAAAAAAGTAAGTTCAGCATACTTAAACTGAAAGTAGGGGTACTGAGGAACTCATCAGCAGTTCTTGGTTATCCTATCTTCAGTTTTAGATGTAAGGGATTTCAGGACAGGAGGAATGGTAATATTGTAGAATGTTGCTGTTACCTTTGTATGTAACCTAGAAATTGTGTTTAAAATAAGGCTTATCTTTCACAGAGGCACTTGGATTTGATTTTAAATATAGTAAGATAAGGAATCCTCTCACATGGTTATTTACCCTGTAAAACTATTGAAATAAGGACTTTTGGAGAAGTCCACTTAGTTTGTCGTAGTTCAGGTGTCTACTCTAGGATGAGGTGAATCGCACCCTAAAAATGTGTATTTTTTTCCATTATCTATAAGGGAAATCTATGGTCTTAGCCTAACTGTGGATGTCTACTCTGTAAGCTTCTACACGCTGTCAAATGAGTCCTCCTACAAATGGCAAAGAATGCATAGTTTTTCCTAGTGGCTATGTCAATGATCAAAACAGTTAAAAACATATACATTATTTCTAAATTCAGTTCATGTGACTTTTACCTTCTGGCCAACGTTAAATTGGCCAGAGTGATCCCTATTTTTGTTAGCTGACAGTTTTTCACTTTAAAAACCATGAAGGGGTCTGTTGTGTCACAGATTCCCATTACATCAAATGCTGCACATGCATAAAAATGTCTTAAAGCGGTGTCAGGGGAAGTTCAGATTGGATGTAAGGAAAATGTGGTCAAGCATTTGAACAAACTCCCCAGGAAAGTGGTCATGGTCCCAAGCCCATACACATTCAAGAGTTAGGAGAATGCTCTTAAATACATGGTTTAACATGGTTGCCCTGCGTGAAGTCAGAAGTTGGACTTACCTGAAGTTTAAGAAACCCCTAAGTATCTGTAAAAGTTATTATGGACTCAGCTCAGAGCCATTAATAGGATACTTACTGCATGACACACTTTACAATTAAGCCTTGTCATTAAAATACTGAAATATTAATTTATATTAAAATCACAGTAAACAATGTGGTCTATAAGATATTTATAAGTGGCCTGACTTATAAACAGTGAACTATATTGTACTATAATGTGGTTACTTTGAGATGGTCCTGTTGCTACAAATGGCAAAACAAATGCAGGGTTTTGACTATATTTTGACCTTAATTTTTGTCTGTGATTCATATTAACGAGTACAAGTCACATTTTCTGAGTCCTTGACAAGTGTGTTGGATAAAGAATCCTAATGCATCTTTTATTTTGTTATACTGAAAAACCTGCATCAGTATTTGGATATTTGAAAAGAACTTGAAATCAGAGGCCAGTTTTCCTCATGCCCAATGCTTAATAACTTTGACAGCTTTCATGAGTTGCTGTGACTAAATTCTGGCTTCATTCTTCAGGATAGTCTAGAAGCCATTTTGAAAGAGACAAGTGCATCACTGAGACAATTTTTTGAAACATAATTCCTAAAAATAAGGGACCTCCTGATCTCAGGAATAAACAACAGTGTTCTGTTCTGTTACTGATGATTGCTCGATCAGATATGTCTACCTTTATGATTATGGTTTATGGAATATATTTAATTTCTCAATTACTTTGATGAATATATTTTGTTGTTATCTGAGGACTGAATTCACCAGAATGCAAGTATTTATTTTTTGTAGTGCTTGAAATATTCATCCATGTGATAGCAGTGTATGTTAAGTGACAAAGTCTCAGAAAGTTAGGATGAAAAAGTAAATAAATGAATTAAAAAATGCCATATCACATAGGAAGGAATTTAGGATAAGATTTTCACCTATAAAGTGCATTAGCAGATAATCAAATAAAGATTGTTATCTGGGTACACAATTATCATATGAAAGTATTCATTATATTGATCACAATAGTAACTTTTTAATAAGTTATGTACACTTTATGAAAAATCTGCCCTTCAGAGCAATGCTTGTGTGGTCAGCCAACAGTGATGGACCTCAGGATGGTGACTAGGCCTATGAAGCAGGTCTGGTTTATATCCAGATGATGCTCCTGCTTCTGAGTCAGAGGTCATAGCATGCTGATGAGAGCACCATGGTGTGCAGCTGACACACGCTCAGACATTCAGCACTCCCAGCAGAGCCGAAGGCAGCAGAAATGCATGAGCAGAATGGAGACCCTGACCCTGCACTTCTCATACCTGCGTGAAAAGCCTGTGATTTGAAGGGTAGTGAGAAACTGTTGTTTTGGAGAAAGAGAGAGCAAGCTGTATTATAGTAGCACCCACAAATCCTGTTATCAGTGTTGTAAGAAAGAAATATTGCTGACAGAAAATGGACTGATTATTCCCCTGTGGGTGATGGAGAAGGCTTCAGGCATGGGTATGATTTTTTTAAACTCAGTTCTACTTGAGGCAAAATGCCGCTATTTTAGAATGAGCTAAGGCCTTAGTACAAAAGAAGGACTTTTGCCACAGTCACTGTGTGTAGAATTGGATATGCATTTTTATCCTTTCAGTAAAACATTTTGCTCTGGAAGCACTCCTTTGATATAGGTTCTGTACAACAAATTATATGTAGTGCTCTATGATGGTAGTCTGAAAATATTGATTTAAAATTACCTCCTACATGTGAGTTTTACTTGAATTTAGAATATGCTTCATATCTTACTACTTTTTTTTTTTTTTTTTTTAGATTAAGTGGAATTACATGAATTTTAATAGCTAGAGGTAGTGCTGTATGGAAAATTCTCTATGGCATTGACCTTCATTGAAAAGTAGCAATGCAGTTCTCATTTGATGTGTTAAAACCCATAGAATATTATTGTTGGGATCACTTTTGGTCATGCTTCAAATATTGCCTGATAATTTAATTGTTAAAAAGGTCTGCTCTGGCAGAACATACCTATTTTTGACTAATGAGATTTTCAAAGAGAATATTATCTGCTTATTTTTGTGGTGTATGAAGGTGGTCCTATCAGGGTTGTGAAGAGATACAGAACTGGGGAC